TGGTAACTGACTCCTAGTACCCCACCCACAAAATTTCAGACCTCGGGTAGGGGACTTCAATTTTTCCCAACCCGATGTTTATTCGTATAGTATTATATAGTAGGGCTAAAAACTGGAGGGCCATATCTCGGAAACTAGAGATGGTACCATCACCATTTTTTCTCAGAAGTGGTAACTGGCCCCTAGTACCCACCCACAAAATTTCAGACCCCGGGGTAGGGGACTTCAGTTTTTCCCAACCCGATGTTTATTCGTATAGTATTATATAGTAGGGCTAAAAACTGGAGGGCCATATCTCTAAAACTAGAGATGGTACCATCACTATTTTTTCACAGAAGTGGTAACTGACCCCTAGTACCCCACCCACAAAATTTCAGACCAAACAGCTTATGTTTAAATTTTGAATTGCGAACTGCGTTCTAGAACGCAATTCACTTTTGAATTGCGAATAGCGAACTGCGTTCTAGAACGCAATTCACTTTTGAATTGCGAATAGCGAACTGCGAACTGAGTTCTAAAATCTGAACGCCAATTTAACTCGTATTCTGTGATGAACCTCCTTTTGGATTTATTTTCATCTCGAAATGTGGATGAAATAGATTGTGGTAACGTGACAGCATCGTATGTTGCAGCTGCTTATGGGAATCTCCTAACTTTAATAGCACTTCTGGAACGCAACGCAAATGTGAATTTTGTCCGATTGCGTCCAAGATTCATAAACGAGTCTGTCGATATGTTGGAATTTTGTAAAACTTCAGCATTTTGGGAATATAGTCTTCTAAATATTGCCTCACAAAATGGACATCACAAGACAGTTCGAACTCTTCTGACGTCTGACGCAGATCTTATGCATCAAACAGCTTTTGGTTCGAATTCCTTTCATTTGGCAGTTCAAAATGGTCATATTCATGTCGTCCGAGAATTTTTATTGAGATATAGATCAAAATTTTATGACAGTCTTAACCATTCACTATATATAGCTGCCGCGAACGGACATTCTGAAATCATTGATCTACTTTTATATCACGGTGCAGTAGACTCATGTCTGCCTTGTAACTCCTCACAGTACTGGACCTTATATCACCAAACTCGACTCAAAGTTATTGATAATATAGACGATCTACGCACTGTGAACTACATCTTTAAAGACGATCGGCGATTAGTACGATGTGAGACAGCTTTAGAGATTGCTGTCCAAAATGGTTATAAAGAAATTGTACAAAGTTTGGTTAACCACCCTTTCAATACTTTGAACTGTCGAGAAGTTGGTGGAAGGAAACCCGTGTTCACGGCAATTAAATTTAATAGACCTGATTTATTTCAGCTCGTTTTAAAAGACATACCCGAGTCTTCAAGATGTTTATATCGAAGGAGTAAAATAGAAAAACTCGATCTTCACGAAAGTGAAAGAAAACAATACATGAATAATATGTGCCCATACAACATAACACCATAACATTTTTTGGCATACCACTGGAATATGGGACTACTCCATAGCTTGTGGAATTGGACTGATAGAGATAGCAGTGGTGCAACACCTCTACATCATGCTTGTTGTAAAGGAAATATGGAAATGATAGATTCACTGAAAAATCTTGGAGCTACATTCAATATTATTGCATTTAATGGCTCCACTCCTTTACACTCGGCAGCCATTTGTAACCAGTATAATGTTCTTAATCATTTACTTTCCCTGTATCCAAAGCCCCCTCCTGACAATGAAAACAAATACATTTGCCACTATTTGGCCGGTGGAGAAAAATATTACAATGAGTCAACCAAACTTGTTATATCGCTAGCCAATATATACCAAATGAATAACCTTAGAAATCTTCTACAAGACGAAGGACTTTTCAAAGACGTTTACAATCGAATCCCATTGCATTATGCATGCGCAAAGGGAAATGTAAATTTTGTGAGTTTTTACCTTAAACTGAAACTTCCTTCAAAATTTTGGAGTAAAGTTTTTGATGTTCTGGACATCAATGGTGACAATATAATAGAGATGGCTTTTAAATATACGCCAATACTTTACCAGGAAAATATCAAAATTGTTGAACATTGCAATATATATCTTCTCGCAGATGATTCTAATTGTGAAGATTACCGTCTTGAAATATTTATATTTATATCATCTATGTTATATTGAAAAACATGCCAAAATCTCAACAGTTAGTACGTCGTTCTATCGGGAAATATATAAATTATAGCCTACAGAAGAATAATGCTAATTTATTGGGTATTCTCTACTTTAACTTTCCATTCGATTTCAATGAATATACACACAGTAAAGGAATAGAATCTATGAAGAATCTCTTGCAGCACCAAATCGTCAATCCGTTAATATTCCCTTTTTTGAGAAAAATGAGATTTCAATGCACTCAAAACTCAGCTTTGCACGAAATTGTTCAAGATGAAAACAGAATATTCTGGATATCATATTTCTTTAACTTTTCTTTGATGTTTCAAATTGATCCCGAGTCCCTAGATTCATGCTTTGATAAAGAGGGATATATCTTACTTCACAGGTCTATAATGGGAGGGAATGTTATTGCATTTATCATTCTCAGAAACCTAGGAATGTCACTTACAACTGAGACACGTGACGGAAAAAACAGTTTGGAACTCTTGGTAGAATATACACCATGTTTTAGGGAAGAAAACATGATAAAAGAATTCTTAATCACGTATTATGATTTTAGAAGGACTTCCGTGAAACGTTTCGAAATAAGTAAGGCATCAATTGATTATGACTTAATTTCATATATTCTTACAAAAGAGACAGACATGTTAATGAAAATGAAACCGAATCAAATTTGTTCACATACTAGTGAATTAAGTTTTACACATCTTGTGGCAGCAAAAGGTTTGCATGTTATTTCTAAAGAAATTGAGAGGTTGTTTGGTGACATTGTAGTGGACTGTGAAAACACAAATGGAATAACATCTGGCCATTTGACGCTTTTTTACAATCATCATCTTCTGCGCAGAAATATACCATGGACATACAAAATCCTATCATTTTTAACCACACTTTTCCTTAAAACAATGTTGGACTTTAAACCGTTTATTTTCCCAAAAGATTCTATCGAAACAAATTGCAGATATAGGATTTTGAACGAGAGGAATTTTCACGGAATAGCATTTTGTGCGACAAAGATGGAGACTGAATTCTTTAAATTTCTTCGAAAATTTGTCAAAACAATTGGACGTAAATCGGTGATTGATTTACAAACTGCCATGAATGGATCGCATATTCATGATAAAATAAAACAGAAAGAATTTTATTCAAAGAATTTCGACAAAAATCTTGCTGGCATTCAACATATGGAAGAAAATCCAAAAGAATTTCAATTGAGGTATTCCTGTCACATTGTAATTCTAAACAATTTCTTAAAAGAATTTAATTGTTTGAATCTAAACAAATCTTTACATTTAGATACAAGTATAAAATGTATTCAAATATTTTCCTTAATTAGACAAAAGAAGATGAACTATAAAACGTTATATAAGAAAATACGGATGTCAAGAATGTTTATGATGTTTCACTTGTATGAAGGGGAATTGAATTTGCCTTATTCCAATCTTAACTCGATAGTCGATCAGGTTTTCGATGATGCTATTTTAAAATCAATATCTTATCCGGAGTATCATATGGAAAGGCAGTATAGATTCTTGGATAAACTGTATTCCTGTAGAAATAAATTAGGGAAGGAAATGGTGAAAAAAGTGAGCATTTCCACAATTGAGGAAATTCAGAAGTGGCAAGGTATCCGAGGTGTCAATTCTTTTATCACTCTACAACAAACTGATTTAAAGGATACTGATGCTCCATTGAAACCTTACGATAAATCGGCTGATGATCAAGAAATGCATTAGACAATGTATTTACTGTATAATTATTACTTTCACGCACTATTATATTGTTCCCTTTGCACGACTTATACTTTGTATTTTTCTGTATCTTCCAATTATTGGACGTAAGATTTAAACGGAGAAAAGATTCATTTTCATGGTAGTTATATCAGATAACAAATATACTTGATTTACTAAGTTAAACATGATTCTCCAAAATAATAAAAGTATGTCAATATATGCAGTTGTTTTAATGGGTTTCAAAACTTTGATTTTGTTTGTTAATTTTTGAAATCTGAGAAAATTATGCTATAATTAAAGCACGTAATGATAAAGTTATATTAAGGGCAAACTGATAATAAATATGAGAATGTTGATGAATTCAACTGTTCTTAAATTAAGTTCCCTTATTTTTGTTGCAACAATACCATTATATAAAGTTTAGTTGATTCGATACACAAGAAAATGCTCTCCGTTCTAACAATTTCTGAAATGAAGCAAGCGACTGATGAATTAGTTGATGATACACTGATATCAATAGTTCGTTTAAAGTAAACGTTGAAAAAATTCTATGGTTAATTCAAAGGCCTTATAACCAAATATAAATTATTAATCGAATTTTGACTGATACTAGTATTTTTCATACAAGTAATGTTTTTAGAATTCTTTAAGCAATAAAAAAGCTGGTTTTCAAAATCTTCATACAAAAAGTCAAAACATTTTATATTGTTCATCATACATTGTAAAAAATAGTTTACATGGTCTTAAGGTAATGGTCCCTGCTGACAAAGCAGGAAAGATTGTTTTGTAAGGTACCTTATTTAGATTTTGATTTGGAGGAAGTAGTATTGGATTCTGCAAGTAGTTACTAGTATCCAACTTACTAAACCCATGGTCCGCCTTTTAAGAGAAATTTTTATAAGAATTTTTTTTCAAAATCATATGTCAGGCATATGTATAAAAAAAATGAAAATGATTTGAGTTTCCATACTTATACTGGATACCAAAACAAAATTTATAAATATCTTATGAACAAAGATGCATGGTCTGTTTCATTAAGTGTTCTACATAAAGGCTCTCTTTTTCACTCAAATTTTTACTGTTTTTAAGCATTGGGGTAAAAGGTTACTTTGTGAATGTGCAAAAATGTACCAAACAAATGCATTAATGAGGAGTTTCAATAATTTTGAGATGAAATAAATTTTTAAAAAACATTTTGCTACATCTCATTAATGATATTTCTCATTATTTTTTTTTAAACAAATGCTGTATTACCTTACAAAATCATTGAAACGGAACCAAATTCAAAACTTGATCCGTAATTTATCAAAATCTTAGCTAAATATTTATAAGCTTTTGCGAAAAAGTGTGGAAAACCATTAAAATGCAAAAAGATCACATTTTCCTCAAAAATCACCAAAGCGAAATGATGACTTTTCAATCGTCAATCGTCATCTTCTCTTACTTACGCACGAATGCATCTTCATCATTTGCATACGGGGTGAACTTATATCTCTCAGTTGATTTGATATGCAAGGACATGCTCTATGAATGAACAATATTTAAAACGAAGTAAGTTATTGGCAAACAAGTTGCTGAAACAAAGATATCAGCTTTCTCTTTTATGATCGATACAGCGACCTTGTCAGCAAATACAATTTATAATTCAGAATCAGAATCAGTTTATTCGCTCAAACCATACAGCATGGTACATGAGGAACATAAAGTATATACAATGTCTATAATGTCGTCAGAGGTACATTAGTATAAATATACACACATATAAATAATTAATATAAATATATATATGTAAATAAATATTTTACAACTGCATGTAGAGAGGATGTACATATAGTACATGTAATAATAAAGTATATGCAAAAAGAAAATACCAGGAGGACAGCTAAGAAGGACAGACAGTCTCAAATATTTTTGAAATAAATGTACATAGTTTTTGTAAAGATTGTATATTTGAATTGGCCATGAGTTCATAAAACTTGACAACATTTGGTCTGGTGCAGTAACTTTTGTGTAAAATTTTTTTTCTTATCTCTGAAAAAGCTGTACACTCTAAAATGTAGTGGTATTCATCGCCTATCTTTCCATTGTTACAAACTAAACATACTCTATCATTTAATGGGGTGCCACACCACCTCCCTGTTTCGACAGGTAGATGATGATTTGAGGTACGCATTTTCATCAATAGCTTTCTTTGTTTTGGGCGTAAATTTTTAATGTAGCTTTCAAATCCGAAATTGGTTTTAAAAATTCTGTAAATCTGGCCTTTGGAAGAACTATTTATGTCATTTGACCATTTTTGAATGAACTGGTCTTTTAAATTCTGATTTACAATAGCACTTAGCCATTTAGCATTGACAACACCTTGCTCATTCCATATAAATGAAAGTCCACAATTATTTAGAATTTTTTGAATACATTCAATCCATTGACATTTAATACCATCGTTACTTAATTGGTTATACATATACTTGTACACAATATTGACAATTTTATCTTCTGCACATGTAAACATCTTTGACCAGTAAGTAATCATTCTCGTAAAAACATTGATGTACAAAGGGAATCTTCCAGTTTCTCCGTAAATCATGTAATTTGGTGTAGAACTTTTCAAATTAAATATAGTTTTTAAGAATTTTAAATGAACACGTTCAATTATTTCCATATTTTCATAGCCCCATATCTCACATCCGTAGAGTAAGATGGGTGTGACTACTTTATCAAACAAGTCAAGCTGACATTCGATCGGTAAATTAAATTGTCTAATTTTTCTTATCACCCCGTACATTGCTTTCTGTGCTTGCTCACAAAGATGTTTCTTCGCTTTACAGTATGAACCTGTTCTTGATAATACAATTCCTAGATATTTAAATTCTTTTACATTTTCAATATTTTGGGTATTGTAATAAAATTTCCTCTTTAACATTGCCCCTTTGGAGAAAACCATGACTTTTGTCTTATCAACGTTCACATTAAGTTTCCATTGAGTACAATAAGTATAGAATTCATTCAATGCCTTTTGTAAATCATCAGCAGATTCTGCCAAAATAACAGTGTCATCAGCATAAAATAAAATCAAAAGTTTTAAATGTAGTAATAATTCATCTTCAATTTCTTCACTAATAGTTTGTAATCCGACTATGTCCTTTTCTACCAAAAATTCTTCAAGATCGTTTATGTACAAAGAAAATAAAAAAGGTGACAGATTTTCGCCTTGTCTTACCCCGACATTACATTCAAAAAATCCCGAGGACATTCCATTTTGTTTCACTAAAGACTTAATTCCCATGTACATATTCCTTATATAATTGAAACATTTACCGTTAATACCATTTCTGAATAGCTTATTCCACAAACCGTTTCTCCATACAGTATCAAATGCCTGTTTAAAATCAATAAATGCACAAAAAAGTTTCTTTTTTCTTTTCATAAGGATATCAGATAGAAATTGCAAAGTTAAAATATGGTCTAATGTTGAGTAATTTTTCCTAAAACCTGCTTGATTATTATTTAGAAGGTTAACCTCGTTTGCATACATTTCTAGTCTATTCGCCAATATGCGGGTAAAAAGTTTGCCTAGGCAGCTTAGCAGAGATATAGGACGATAATTTTCAGGCTGGGTTGGGTCGCCCTTATTCTTATATATCGGTCTAACAATACCAATTAACCATTCATCTGGAACGAAACCACTATCAAAAATTATATTAAAAAACTTCTTATACAATGGTAAAAACGTTGACAATGTTGTAGAAATATGTTCATTTAGAATGTTATCATACCCTGCGGCTTTACCATTCTTAAGTTTCTGAATAGCCGCTATTATTTCTTCTTCGACAATTTCACAATTGATAATACTGTCTACATGGTCTGAGTTATCATTTGTATCATCTAATCTAAAGTCGTAATTTTCGTCATCGTTAGCATCATTAGTATTGCCTTCATTCATTTCTTTTAAAAATAGAAACATATCTTGGATTTCAACAGCGCATTTTTTATCTTGACTTGATGCATTTAAAATTCTCCAATAATCTTTCGGGTTTGTTGAACGTAAATGGGCAAGTTTTTGAGTTAATTTATTTCTGTAACCCTTCAAGCAGTTATCCATTGTTTTCTTATATTGTTTGCTAGTTGATTTAAGGTCGCCTTTGTTTTCTATTGTTTTATTTCTATTGTAAATTCGCTTTGCTAAATGGAATTTTCTCCTTGCTGTTTTACATTCCTGGTTAAACCAGGGTTTGTTACACTTTTTATTATCCATTGAGGGGTTTTCTATATTTTTTTTCATACCAAACGTTTCTTTTGCTGAATTAACAAACACTTCACAAATGTTTTTCGCTATTTTGGTAACATCATCCCTGCAAATACTTTCAATATTAATAGATAGTCTATCTAGATCATTTTCTATGGCTAATACAGAACTCACTTCAATATTGCTACGAAAATCGTCTGCTTTGTCCGCACACCATAATTTTACACTTGGTTGATTTTTACCTGTTCTACAACTTTTGACCTCTTTGTTACAATTAGTGAACGAAAAAGTTATTGGATTATGTACATCTGAAAAAAGGTTACAAAAATCAATAATTTCAAAATTTTCCACAATTTCAAAAATATTTGCACTGGCTACAACATAATCAACAGTGCTGCTATTCTTACATGTGGCACTACCTGTATTTTTATCTCTGCCAACCCGGCTATTCACAATATACAAGTCATTATTTTTACAAAAGTCAGCAAATTTATGTCCATAATTATTTACAGTACAGTCTTGTACAACTCTTTCTAAAGAAATCTAATGGTCATTAAATATCGAACATCGAAGAGCAATCTCTGAATGAATCGGGCTATGAGTTACCTGTGTCAAAAATTCGTCAGAAGTACAATAGTCGTGTAATTTACCAACTCTGGCATTGAAATCTCCAAATAAGCATACATATTTACAGTTATTTGCCATGTTTAAAATTTCTTGCTCTATTTCTAAAAAACAGTCGGGAGAGGAATATTTACTCCCTTCTGGTGGAATGTACACAACTCCACATAAGACATCTTCACAAGTATTAAGCAGAAATTTACTAAGTTTGAACCAAAAAATGAATTTACAATCTGTTTTCAAAATATTTACATGTTTTATAATATCGTCTCGTACTGCTATAACTAACCCACCAGATCTTCTATTTGATAATTTGTGTCTATTTTTCATGAAAACTGTGTAGCCGGTTATGTGTATATTGTCCGAATCATCGGTTTTAGTCTCTGAAAGACCTATTATGTCATGCTTAGAGATGAAATCGTAAAACTCTGGATAATTAAGTCGTTGTTTAAGTCCACATACATTTAAGGATAAAATTTTCAGGGATTTGTCCCTGTCAGTTTGTTCTCCCGCGATTTCCTATGCCTGCTCAGGTGTAGATCCCTGTCGCTGTCGTTTTAGTGCCTGGCGGTCGGTATTTTGCGGCGTGCTCTGTTGATCCATCGGTTGATAACTCGAGGTCGAATTCCAGGTAGGTAACGATTGTACAGGTGCGCTGGGCGCGGATCCAGCTGATGGTATGTATTCTTTACCGTCGATGTACAGCGTGTCTTTCACAAGCTTGGCGCGCTTATGATCTTTCAATGCTTGCCGAAGAACCGGATAGAGTTTTCTTCTTCTTTCCTCAATCTCAGAAGGGAACTGCTCATTTACCCAAACATTACTGTGTTTTAATTTTTGCGGTGCTCGACTGCGGATGAACTCTCTATCTTTGTAAAACGTAAATTTTGCGACAATATTCCTTGGGTGTTCACTAAACTCGTTCCATTTTGATTGATCAATTGAGTCAAATGCTGACTGAAGATTTTCGTGTTAATTGTTAGGCCATTAAATATTAATTAACACATAGAATTTTCGACGGATTGTCTCCGTTACTTCCCGATATTGACAAGGAGCAAACGGAGGGTGTGACCGATAGGCATGGGATTTTCACTCCTCCATGGCACCTGATCACACTTGATTGCTCTGCTCCAAAATTTGTATTCTTTAAAGGACTTTTGGGCTTGAATACTGTTCGTTTTCTCCATATCTTTACTCATACCGTAGTAATTTTGTTTAAATATTTCCTCGGATATAAAAATTGGGTTGGCACTTCATACAACAAATCAACGAAAGTTACTCCCACAAAAATTAAAAATGCCACAGTATTGTTTAATTATCTATAAATGAATATCCTTCAGATTTCTACTTATCGTTGACAGCTTATACAGAGTACAGAGAAACCTATAGTATTATCATCTCGTCTTGTAAAATTATTTAAAAACCACACGACCAAGAATTTTTTTTAATCACCTGAAATCACACAGTAAATGTGTACTGTTCCATACATTTATCCCGCCAATAAATTTCAGATTTAAGTTCATTAAATTGCAATAGTTACTTTATTTGAAAATTAACGTTTAAAAAAATGGGTCGATGAAAGGAAATATGTCTTTGTAATGTTCGATCATATCCGAATGTCATAAATGTTATTTATAAAGTGTGTGTGATCTGTTTTTGTTTCCAGTGATAAAAATAGTACCATCATGTTTTATAATCTTTTATTTTCCATATCAAATGCTATTTCTATAGATCTAAAAATGTACTATATATACCACACGTAACATACCTTCGAGAAAATATATTAACTGAATAAACCGATTTCCAACCATACAAAATTTGTTTAAAATATCAATGAACTGGATGCCTATTACTCGTCAAATGATTTTAATAAAAGTGTAAGAAAAACGTAAAAGATACACACATTTTTTAAAAACATTTCTATATTGATCTTTATTCTGATCCTCCTATGGTATGCATATACATACGATAAACTATCAAATAGATACATTTAGATACTAGTATTGCATCTATCATGCGTTCTTATATTAAAATAACATTTTAATTAGAATCATGAAGAAGATACAGAATCTATACATTTCGGTAAAAGAGAAAATTTGAATGTAAAAATGTTATAAATGTATTAAACAAATTTTCGCCTACAATTTACCTTATAGAAGCAATTACCTTATAGAAAATTTGGTATTATGATTATTTGAATAGATACCCCGCCGTATTCAGTTGCTTTGACTTCTAAGCCAATTGCTCATAATTAAATTTTTAAGCGAGTATTTGCTTCATACGTTTACATGTAAAATATATACACATTTTTATATTTGATATTTCTTTGCAAGTGTATGGTTTCTATCATCGAGTCAATATATATAAATACCGATTAACAAAAATCATTCTTGTGAGACATAAAATAAATCAAACGATATGATTAAGTGAAACATATAGGCCTAAGTTTGAATAATTCTATTATGACACGTTAGGTTAATTTTGTTACAAAAAGTGATGAAAATCAACAAAACACTGGGAAATAGTTGAAGCAATAGTACTCGATCAATAAACTCCTACAGGAAAGCTTGGATTATTGAGGCAGCCTGATACAGACCGACATCTAATGGACACCGGCAGAAGATGATCTTGCTTATGTTCCTACTGTCCTCAGGTAAACAAATAATCACCTTATCTTTAATTATTTTAAATGCAATTTTGAATTTTAAAAAAAATTATGTCTTAAGTTATTTATATTTTTAAAAACAAAGAAGATGGGCGCATTTGGCGGGTGATCTGCAGGAATCATTTGTACGAAACATTTATGGTTTAAATGTCCATGATTTGGTTGGCTGAACATACCTGGTCAGAGTTTACAAACATGTCCATGGTTTTTTTTTTTCATTTAGTTTGAAAGACATTGTGAAATTGTAACATTTATGTCCATTTTTTTTTCTAGGAGGTACTATAACATAGTAATATTTCACAAAAAATAAAACCTAAAATATATTTAATGCATAGATGCATGATACGTGTACATGTACATTATAAAATAGAAGATTAGAATTGATTTCGCTTGAGAACCAAACTGAACCAAAATTTATCTAATTCAAAATTTTAATCCATCAGTACATAAAACGAAACTGACAAAAAAATTGGTTGCTTGCCCGAATAAAAAAAAATTAACGCCCCATGCCAGGCTCGAACCAAAAACTTTTTCGCTTCGAGTGCACTGAACAGGTAACTTAACTTTCTGAGCTATCATCGCTACACATTTACAGTTGTCTTTAAATGGACAAAGACGCACCACATTGACACATTTGGATTTTTTGGGGAAAAGTTCATTTTTCGTGGTCTCTGGGTCTTCTCTCCATTTTTTAAAAAAATGTAATCGTTTCTTTGAATTAAAATACACACACATAACGTTTCAAATTCATGGAGAGAAGACCCAGACATAGAAAATTTTTAGAAAAATGTGTTTTAAAACGTACAATTTTTTACCAAAGGTCTGATATGGCCAATTTTCAAGTTAATTTTTAGCAAATCAAAGCTCAATTTTGGGAAAATATTTTCCGTTTCTGTTGCACAGGAACCCGATAAATTAAAAAAATGTTAAAATTTCATGTGACATTTCAATAAAATTATCACTTTTCAATTACGCCCAGGTTCCTGCCGAATGCCAATCAAAAGCGCCCTCGTTCTTTGTAAGAAGATTGCTGATTCATTATTGTCTAATCATATTAAATGTTAGTTGCATTATTTCCTGATTGAAGTTTTTAAGATGTCATAATTTTTTTTCCCTGAATTACGTGACATTTGAACCTTTATAATAATAATGCAGTAATAATAATTTCAGTAGATGTAATTGTTTTAGATATTTTTTTAGCAAATGCCATAGCTGGATAGAATTATTTTTTCATTATTAAATAAATATTATTTTATGATTAAAATCCTAGCATATAATTACTATCAAGTAGAAAGAAAAAATAAAATCTTTATATATATTATATTATACAGTGAAATGAACACGCCGTAGATTACTAAATTAAAAGTTCAAGTAACATGGCAAACTCAATCTTAAGGTATACCTTTACTCAGATGACTAAAAATTCCACTGATAAGAACAAAAAACCACCTATTGCACATTGTACACCTATAATTCTTGTGTTAAATTTCAATTTCAAATAACTAGGTCAATGACCTACTACTTTTCATGCTAGTGGCCCCTGAGTATTTCTCGGGAAAAACCTCAATTTTTCACCATTTGACCAATTTTTTCTTCACTCACAAAATATTACAAGCAACAAAACTCTATAAATAATGAAATATTATAGTAATGGACTAATGGAACAGTGTTGCTTCATATAAAGAAACGATTAGAGTTCTGGCCATAAACTTGATAATTATTACAGTCCGAATTTCCTCTGTCATATTTATATTTTTTAATCGAATATTTAAAAAATCTGACTGATGAGAACTCTAAATTATTTATAGCCTCATATTACCTTTGTTGCCGTAATTTTCATGGTATTAAAATTATATGAGGCCAATGATCAAATTATTGAGATATATGGTCTTGAATGGTTTTTGTTCATATTTTTGAATTTCTTTATCTCATAGCATTCAATTATTTGAAATAATTTATGAGCTTTAAGACTAATAAAATTTGCAAAATGATGTCTAAAAATACATGTAACCTTTACATTGTGATTAATATTGCAAGAAATAAAAGATTGTCACAAAAATGAAAAATTAAAAATTTAGTCCGAATTTCCTCTGCATTACTATACACTGACTTCTGTTCTTGTATATTTTCTTCAAATAATAAAATATGAATTTTTAAAATTGGTATTGAGTTAAAACTTCGTAATTTTATCCATTTAGAACAATTTTTGATTAAACATATTATACTTTATAAAATTTCCTTTCTGTTTTCTGAAACCTGAGTAAAGTCATCCTTAATCAACTCGATACTCGAATAATTTATTTTCATTATTACCTTAAAACCACACAGGTCAAACCTTACGTATTGCCAACTTCACACGACAGACCGGATATGACGGAGTACTTCCGGTAGATTCTAGCTTGATTCGGTATTTCTCCACCCACAGTCGTGTTGCCTGTGCAGGACTTTGCTCAGAATACGAAATTTGTAGAACTTTCTTATATCATTATTCATCTAAAGATTGCTATATTTGGGACAAGCACCTAGATCATAATTCTGCAACAAAACCCCTCGATGGAATACAAACATACAAATCCAATGCCCCATTCATCAACCTCAGAGGTATTATTTAAAGGCTTTGTAACTGCAATTTACTCTTTCAAAAGAAATATAGAGTTTTAATGCTATATGCACACGAAGTTCAGAATTGTATTAAATTATAATTTATTATGTATTAAATTCATTTTAGAGAATTGTGTGAATCACGGATTTACCATCAGTGACAGTGAAAGAATGTGCTTTAAATACTTTTACAACAGTAACCCGCGTTCTAAAGAAGTTATTCTCAATGAATGCCAACAGTTTGGGGCTGGATTGCTTCTTCTTAACACTCCGGGAAGAAGGTCTTTCTTTTTAAGTCAAGGTATGAAATTAATAAAGACATTCATACATACGTTTTAGAAGAAACGAATACGGAAGAAATCACAATTTGAAGAAACTAATTTACAAAACAAGTAATGTAGTCTTTGATATGTTGCATGTTTATAAATTTGTTTTAAATATATTCCATGTATTTATTTTTCGACATCTCTGAGTAAAAGCGTTATATGACGTTAGTCTTTACATGTTTTTTGGAATCAAACTCTAAAGAGCACACTACAGAAACACCTTTGCACACTTTCATTCAACCTGATGTATCTCAGATTATGTAATTTCAGGAACCAATGAAGCTCATGTTGGACTAAGCGATGCAAACGTAGAAGGAACGTGGATCTGGGATAACGGAGACCCAGCAGATGACGCTGTACTGGCTAGTTCTACATTCGATAACGATGATGATCGCTACACATGTACCGAAGGGGCCGATTGCGTTGTAGTCTTTACTGGGAGTAAAAGTTTAACGTTCGAGGATTATTGCTGTAAAAACATCAAACATTGGTATTGTGCCATTTTATTTTAAACACACTAATGAAACAGTATTATGACGTTCCATTTATAGCATTTTATCGTTTCAATTTATTTAAGACAGCACCTGAAGGATTTTGTTTTTCAAATATTTGAAGATGTTCAGTATTAATAACTATTGTTATCTCTGGGTATCTGAACGTGAATTCATGGAAAATGATTTATCTTATTGATTTCTGTTTTTAATAACCTTTTTCGACATCAAACGTAATAATGAAACCATTGTATGTTATAACCCAAAGGTGAACAGAAAAAGAAGTGTTGAGAATTAATTGCTATTCCACGTTGAGATATACCAAGGATGGATACTCATTAACGAATTCGTTAATTTCATTTCATAGGATTATATTGGTAATTGATCGTGTACTTTTTTCCCATTAAACTACATTTATGTGTTTTTATGGATGTCTGCATGCTATAAGCCATTGCAAACAAATGAAGAGAATTTGTCCTTTGTGAATTCTTTAGGGAAGATGTGCTACATGTTTTATTGCATATTTATTTGTAAAAAAAAATTCAAAGTACCTTTGGGATTTACAAAAAATTCTCAGCATCTTAAGAAAAGTCTAACAATAATGACAAAAAAATCAAAGGCATTCAGAGTGTATTCATGTTTTTTGAAGCAATCATGATATGATGATCATTTACCAAAATATCCATATTTCATCCACATATACTCTTCTCATAATAAAACGACATCAAAGGGAAAAGAACTGACGAAATGATTTTTGTCATTGAGCTTTAATTCGATTTTCTTGCGAGGGTATATAAGTTTTAGATTTTGCATATCAAAGCAAGAATGAGTAGATTTTTTTCTTTAATAATTCTATGATAGTTAAAATTAGTAGCTTTATTTTTCTTTAAGTCATTAAAAAATAGATCAATCGTTCAAGATGAATTCTACAGCAATCTGCTTTGAAGAAAGAAAAATGAAAATTAAAGTTTGTGTGAGATTAGTACTGAATAAAACAAATCACAGTTATTATCTTTTAAGGACAGACGATCCGTTCCTAAATAATATACAATTTTTTTTCAAGATTTTGTGATTGAAGAAATGTTATTTTTATACGTTAACTCACAAAAAATAAAGAACCTTACCAGGCATTTGTGCAAGATACCATAGGATGATGTTCCCTTTTTAATAATTTTAAAAATAACTTAAATTGTAGAAATCAGAAAATTTCCGTTGTAAATTTCTAAACGCAATTCGAAACCAGTTTAGAAATCAATAGGTAATAATCATTTTAAATATATCTTATATATTACGAAGATATACAAAACAGATATCTGAGGAACGTATCGTCTGACCTAAAATTCTTATTTGTATTTACATACGAAGAAAATTTAATCCCCCTATGATGGGAGCAGAAAGAATAAAAAATCGAGTTTGAGAATGATGATTTTTTAAAAAAAAAAAAAAACCTACCTTGGAAAATTTTAAAATTTTTTAAAGCAGATTTCAAATAATGATGTTTTGAAGGAAACAGAATTAATAAACCTTATTGTTCATATTTTTAAAATGATTTATTTTATGTAGCATAATAGTTACATGAATTGTGAAAACATCAATATTAATGGAAGTCAAACGTTCGTCGATTTCGTGAGAAAAAATACATTCCAAAAAATTTTAATCCCCATGATCACGAAAAAATTCTATCTACAAACACAGACCCCCACCAGTTAAAATGAAAATGCCTCTAAAAACGCTGGTCTTTCTTATATCTAAATACTGCATGACTAAATAAAATTAAAATGTACAAACAATACGTTGAAATAAAAATGCCTCTAAAACACTGGTCATTCTTATATTCAAATACTAAATGCCTAAATAAAACTAAAATGTACTAACAGTAAATTACGAAAGATCAGGCGGGATCGTGATTGCACAATTTTATTTTGCTAAGTTTGACTTGTATAGGTAAATGAAACATAGGGAATTTAAGACCAAAAGTGCATAAACAATACAAAATAGGACCACAGCATACATGGACCCCCAAAACATCAGAGGTGGGATCAGGTGCCATGGAGGATTGAGCATCCACTGCCAACCGGTCACACCCGCCATGTGCTGCTTGTCGTGATGGGAAAACAAAGGAAAACTTCGTCGTCATCTCAGTGGATGAACAATGGACTAACAATCAGCATGAAATACGTCAATCAGCAGTTGACTCGATGATAAATTGTATTTGCTGACAAGGTCATTGTATCACCATAGAACTTTTGAAATTATGATTTTAAACGGGACAACTGAATTTCTTATTTTATCAACTTGTTTGTCAATAATTTACCTTGTTTGAGAAAATGTTCATACGTAGAGCTCTTGTGTATCGATTCAACATAGATATATAAACTCCGTGTGCAGGTGATGAAGTGTATAATGTTTCGGAGGTCTGTGTTTGCTCTGAGCCTATTTTGTATTGTTTTATGGACTTTGATATTGAATACTGTTCGTTATCTCCATATCCTTACGTAAGTAAGGGAAGTTGACGATAGAAAAGTTGTAGTTATCACATTTATCATAGAGCTTGATTGTTAGAATACCATTAACGTCTTTTTCAAGTAAAATATCCAAATATGAAACATACATGTATGTGTCAGACTCTGAGGTATCTTTTGTCTCAAGCTCACATCAAGCATCATTTTAATGTTAACTTAAGAGTACATAATGATGAAAATCAAATGTAACATTAGGTATATAGAAATAATTCTGAACATAATACTTACAGTTTTATTCAATCAAGAATATTTAGTAAAATCAGTAACGTCAAAAAACTGCTCTTCAAACCTTGATACAACTATTACTCATGATAAGTAGAAGTCTTTCCATTTGGAATATTTGCTCTTTTTTTTTAAATTAAAAATGAAACTCGCAAATTAACTTTCCTTGTCATTTTCATCAGCAAAAAAAAATGTTTAAAAAACATTCTGAATGTACACACAAGTACTTTGAAATTGATTTAAAAAATCGATTTTTAATAATAATTATGTAGTTTGCGAGACAAGGTCTTCAAATATTGGATTTATATGAATACATAATGCGCCCTGTTAGACACAGACCTATTTTGCATTCAGCAGAGCTTATTCAACAACTTCTAGAGGGAAAAAGGAAACACTCGCCGGAGACTTCAATTCGACATTTAGATACTAGTATATCAAGGACGTATTCTCAATTAACGATAGTTACTTTCATTCAAATGTTGACTCAATATATCCAATTATTTTTCGAATAAAAGCTACCACAAAGTCTAACACATCTATTTGGTTCTTGGAAATTTAATTTGAAAATGACACTAATGACAATCTAATGACAAATCTTTATCATAAACTTAATTATTTCAACTTTTCAATCGTCGACTACCCTTACTCAATATGTAGGAATATAATCTTATCGCCTGCAAATGGGATTTATATCACTCAGTTGATACGCAAGAACAAGCGCTACATACAAACACTTTCTAAAATAGGGCAAGCTATTGAAAAGTTGATGAAAATATAGTATCAACAGTCGCGTTTAAAGTCATCATTTTGCCACTTCTAAGGTCAATACAATGACGTAGTCAGCAATAACAACCTATCACTGAGTCAAATGTTGACATAATTTTGTCACGATTATTGTAGGCAATTGTTTTACATTGAATTGTCTACTTTTTTCTCTCCATTACTTAGTATTTTTACAATCATGACAAGCAGCACATGGCGGATGTGACCGGTCTTAGCAGGGGATCTTACTCCTCTAAGCCACCTGGTCCAATCTTTGACACTTTAGAGGTCTTTCTTTGCTTTGCTCCCAATTTGAAGAATTAAATGGACTTTGAGCTGCTTATCTCAATGTTCTACATTTAATTATGAACAAAAACATCTTGTACGGAAGAACACGTGATAAATATTGTACAACCGATAATAAAATAAAGAAAAGGGAAATAGCAGAAAACAATACAGAATAAACAGCAAAATATACTCACCGTCAATAGAAACGCAACACCCTAATTTTAGGGGTGAAAATTATATACGGGATATAACTATGTACCAAAAAAGTTAGGACATCTTTTACTTTGCCAAATCAGTTATTTAACGGTTGAATGGTTTTCATTCCATGACCGGAAGTTGATTTTTAGCCCCCTGAACAGAAATCAAAAATTAGCATTTTTAATAAAATTATTGACAATATTTTGGGTTTTCAAGGTTTTTTATCTGTTAATCATAAGTCTTGTATTAAAAGTCCGGAAAAAATATCCTTCTTTCTCTTTGGGATGTGATGCCTGTATTTCCTCAAAGTAACTGAAAGCACGCATTTTAACTGCTAATGTTGGAAATTTTCAAAATAAAGAAAAGGGAGAGATACAGATGCAAATATACACTACATAACGACTTTTCGGGCTCATGTGTTTCAAAAGCATGAATGACAGTTCCTTGACCGGAAGTCCAAGGGTTACTACACTACGCCAAGTTAGAGAAAATTCGACCTCAGTGTCTGTAAAACAGGCATTTAAAAAAGGACAAGAATATTTATTTCGCTCAGATTAAGACATTGATAAACTTAATGCATGGTAGAATTCGGGCTGCTTATGTTGTACATGGCAGACTAGCACGTTTTAATTGAATGGTCGGAAGGGGGGATGTTTTAGTTATGTGTTATTTTATAAGGTTTAAAGATAAGATTAAGAATAAATAAATAAATTTAAAAAGTAAATTTACAAAACAATGATACTTCATTTAAACTTTAAATGTTATCTTTAGACCTCAGAAAGTAACACATAACTTTTAAAACATCCCCCCTTCCGACCATTCAATTAAAACGTGCTAGTCTGCCATGTACAACATCTCTCCCTTTTCTTTATTTTGAAAATTTCCAACATTAGCAATGAAAATGCGTGCTTTCATTTACTTTGAGGAAATACAGGCATCACATCCGGAAGAGAAAGAAAGATATTTTTTCCGGAATTTTAGTACAAGACTTATAATTAACAGGTACAAAACCTTGAAAACCCAAAATATTGTCAATAATTTTATTAAAAATGCTAATTTTTTATTTCTGTTCAGGGAGCTAAAAAGTCAACTTCCGGTAATGGAATGAAAATCATTCAACCGTTAAATAACTGATTTGGCAAAGTAAAAGATGTCCTAACTTTTTTGGTACATAGTTATATCCCGTATATAATTTTCACCCCTTAAATTAGGGTGTTGCGTTTCTATTGACGGTGAGTATATATTAAATAGTTTTTAACGGAGAGGAGGAATAGATAGTTTTCGATAGGCCTGAATTTAGCGAAAGTTACCTCCCGTTGGCCGCCATATTGGAGGTCGACTCAGTGATTTTCCCTCTTTGTCTTACCAAGTTTAAGAAAATATAGCAGAAATATTTGGTGGAAAATCTTTATCAAATAATTTTTTTTAAATATAGGAGGCTTCCAAAAATTTATATACTTCAGAAAAATTATGATTTCTAATTCAAAATAGCAAATATAAAAATTTTAAATTGGTTTAACAATGAAGGAATATGATCATTTGGACCTCCAGTATGGCGGCCAACGGGAAGTAACTCTTGGTCAATCGAAAACTATCTATAACACGCCAAAATTGCACATAGTATTGTCCTTTAGAGTATTTCCTTTCCATCTGATTTCCGTAAAATTAAAACTTGGAAAAAGTCAGGATTGAAGAAGGAAGGATAAAGGACGGAAGAAAAGATGGATAAAAAATAAAGATAATATAAAGATGTTCTGTCAAAAGCAGAAGTAGAAAATCGAACTTGTACATCTATAGTATCTCTGGTGCTTCAGAAGTCTGTATTTGCTCTGCTCCTGATTTGTTTTATTAAATGAAATTTTGAGCTTGAACACTGTTTGTTATATCAATAAGTATTATGTACACTACATCAAAATCATTGTAGGACTCAAACTTTCCAGTGCAATGAAGGGTTAAACCACTGGCCAATGCTAGTAGGAAGCCGTGAATCACACACTTCCACATTGTCTTCCTCGAGGGATGGAAATACCCTTATCTCTTCTAGAGTAACGACGCCTGTGGGGCGAAGATCTGGGGGCAATCTCTTTTAGAGAATATCCGGGTCTCAACGTATGCGCCAAATGTGAACAAAAACATTTTTGTGCCTCTGCTTGGGATTGAACCCTAAGCCTCTGGTTCCCAGTCAGGTGCTCTACTGACTGAGATAAAGAATGACCACTAGCCAAAGCAAGTAGGCAGCCGTAAATCATACATTAACACATATAGAAAACAAAATGCCGACTTTGTTTGCTTTTATAATTCAATAATGGAAAAGATCATCAATATAGACATTCTAAATACTATCAAATAAATATGATTGATTTAAAAAAGATGAATACGTAAACAATATTTATGCATTTAATATAAAAATGTAAAACAATCAATTAATCTTCACTAGTGTTAGCAAAATACCCTCAGGTATCAATACTTATTAAAAAAAAACTCATAATACTTAGGCATAACGAATATCAAAATACAATGCTTCAGAATCTTCCTTTCACAGACAAAGACAATTCATTATGTCTCATTTGCTAGAATCTGTAATAATTTTGGTTTTGTTTGGCTTCCAGAACATGATCAATATGAAAATATCACACTCCCAACGAAATTGAGTTATTTCAAGTGAAGTCAGGAAAATCTCAGTTGCTGAATAAACATTGTATACTGTAAGTACTAAAAAGCGCATTGTTTGATGAAATGACAATTTGTACAAACCTTTGAATTGGTTCAACTCATGTTAATCAGGATATTATTGGTTATTTTTGGTTATTTTCTATTCGAAAATAATGTAAAAGCTTTTTTAAAAGACAAATATAACTAAAACGTTATATTAATATAAATAAAATATAATTAAAACTTTATAATCAAAAATATAAATCGTGTGTACAATGTGATAAACACTCGAACAATAAACAAAATCGAGTTATTATTAATTTACCTATTGAAATCAATTAAGATCTAAAGCTTTAATAATGACCTATTGACATTCCTTCCTCTTATTTGTTATTGTTTTCAATTACTTCGAATAAATATTCCAGCTGTTTATTTTAAACTGAAATAACAAAAATTGGTCTATCACATGACACAGCACAACACGTGTTCAGTATTTGATAAGTGCTAAACACTTGAACTTTTCCGTTTCAATATTACAACACGGCAAATTATTAAATGATGTCTTAGATTCTCCTCGTCACTGTACCAGGAGTATGCGTTTTTTGGTTTTAATTCTTTTTATTTTGAAGAAAGTGAATGCCAGTGACATTGGGAACTGCACTGTAGAGTACGTACACTTGTGAATTATCCTAAAAAAACAAATATTCATGAAACATAAATAAAAAAGTTATTTTCTTTATAGTGGCAGAGTGGAATGCTGTTCAAATTATTTTCTGAAGGAGGAAAAATGTTTTGGTGAGGCATGTTTATATTTCAACTGTCTTATCTTCAATAAAACTTTTCTTATCGAAAGTTAAATTAAAAATTCTTTTTAATTGTCTAAAATTATATTTATATAACTCACTGACTACTAGTATATATAGCATATATTATGTTTTGGTATACTGTCTGATTAACCTGACACGAGATAAATAAATAAGTTTTACTTAAAAAAAATAAAATGTCTCCGAATTGTTAAACAGGCCTATTAAAAATTATTTCTAACTAAAACATGGGAAATGAGAGGTGTTTGATTATACATACATATGTAATTGCATATGAATGTCACTCGTTTCAAGAAGATGGTATATACGGACTCATTTTAAACTGTGTTTTCATTAGCATATAAACCAATACGCGTGAGCAATTGACAAAAAAAATTGGATTATTTGTAAATAATGATTATAAAAAGGGATTGAATAAGGGTTTCGATGAGAATATTTCCTAAAATTTTGTGGTATGGTATAATGACTACATGTTTCAAGAGCATTGTGATTGTTGATTGATTATATATTGTTTAACGTCCCTCGAGAGAATTTTTCACATATATAGAGGCGCCACCACTTGCCGGTGGAGAGCTATTCTCGGCACTAAGGGCCATTGAGCATGGAGGGATCTTTTTCGTGCCAGCACCTACTGCGACACGGGACCTCGGTTTATACGGTCTCATCCGAAGGACCGGTCTCCACGTCCCACCGTGGGATTCTTACCCGCGAAGTAAGGATTGACGCCTTACTTTGCAACTCTAGAGCAGACGCTCTAACCACTGCTCTAACCTCTGCGCCACGCGGGCGACTTAAGAGCATTGTGAAAAGTTTTCAGTGTATTAATGAAAAAAGATGAAACATAGTTCACAAAATAAAGAGTAGCAAGATTAGAAAAGAAAACCTCAGCGTGTTTAACCTCATGCTCAAAGGTGTGATCAGAGAAAGACAGACTGATAGCATGCAAATTTGAACAATAACAGACCACGTGCCTAAACAATCAAGTTTGTTAGCATAATAACATTAAAAGATATTTTTAAAAAAATTACAAGCATCATAAATCTATGAACAGGTCAAATAAGTAGACGCTGGATATCCAGAGACGGGATCAGTAAGCATTCCTCCTGGAACAGTCACACCCCGTGTATTGTTAAAGTAGATTAGCTTATGTGATAGTAATCTGTCTCAGGTTAAAAAAACTTACTTGTTGATAAAAAAAAATATGGGACACATAAACACCATATGCCATAGCGGAAAATTACTAATTAACTAGTGCTAATTGTAACGGGGACCGTTACAGATGTTCCCCAAACGCTCCCCAACTCCCTTTTGGTGCCATATTCCCTGGAAGCTTCATTAAATAAGACACTCGATGCATTTGAGAGTTTAACTACGTTTACCCAGAAGTGTACAAAGTTCATTCAAATTTTAGCATTGCACGCGTGCGCATGTGAATGCATGTGTGTAATGACCATATCATCTTGTCTACACAATCTATATATTTTAATATACTAAATATTAAAGTATTTAATCCAAAAGTATTAAAAAAGATGCGCTCATTCAAGTGTTTTTTGGATTTTGCTCATTTCACGTGCACGCACGTGCATACTTGAGCATGGTGACCATACCTTCTTGTAGATGTCCGTTACATTTATCTATGTTCTAAATCCCACCCCGTTTGGTTGAAAACCAAGGGAGTTATAGGTGTTTAAAGTTTCAGCCAATCAGATTGCAGCGCACGTACATGCACGTGTATGCATGTGCATGGTGACCATATTTTCTTGTAGTAGACCAGTATATCTATCTATGTTCTAAATCCCATCCTGTTTGGTTGAAAATCAAAGGAGTTATAGCTATTTAAAGTTTCAGCCAATCAGATTGCAGCGCACGTGCATGCACGTGTTTTCATGATAATTGCTATATATCATGTTGTAGGATATTGTAATGCATGGCTATTTTCAAAATTTCAAAGGATTTCGTCAAAAAACAAGAAAGATATTGAGACTTTAGTTTCAGCCAATCAGAGCAAAGCGCACGTGCATGCGCGTGAGATCTTGCTATTTTGACCATGTCATATTGTCTATGCTACTAATATATCCTTATGTTATAAGTTTTAAAGCATTTCATCAAAAATTTAAAAAGTTACACCTATATCAATTAAATCGGTCATTTCACATGTTGCACGTGCACGCTCTTGCAAGCACGTGCGCGCAAAATGACCTTCGTTCCGCAAATCTACATAACATGTCTACTGACCCTAAAAACATTTCACCTTAGTCGGATGTATAGTTTTCGAGATCATTCCCGGACAAAAAAGTACCCAGGAAGAAGAAGAAGAAGAAGAAGAAGAAGAAAAATAACTAGAAACGATCTCGTTGCGAGCAACGAGTAGGTCTTCCGTCCGATTCCGAAAAATAACCCATAAAATCGAGCTGAAAATGGATTAAACATATTTTGGACACACTGGTAATTGAAACGGGTCACTAGCGTGAAAATCCAATACGCTTATCGATTACGCTATTTGAACAACTACTCTTACTTCACTTGTATGTACATATAATTCTGCAACAGTTAATCTGTCTTGGAATTATGAAAGAAGGGTCACTATTCATAATTTCGCGCCAAACGCAACGAGTAAATCTTAGCGAATTTCTCTTGGAATGTTCATGGTCCTTCGGATGAGACGGTATAGACCGAGGCCCCGTGTCACAGCAGGTGTGGCAGGATAAAGATCCCTCCCTGTTTATGGCCCTGAGTGCCGAGCATAGGCCCAATTTTGCAGCCCTTCACCGGCAATGGTGCCGTCTCCATATCAGTGAAATATTCTGGAGAGGGACCTTAAACAGTATACAATCAATCAATCAATCGTATATAGGCAAATAACACTAAAGCAGTGAAACAGCTATGAGTGGTTAATTTTTCAATTTTCAATCACGAAAGTTGACTATTCCGATTACTTACACTTTCATGAAAAAGGTGGTATGTTTCACCGAAAAAAAAATGCCTCGATCGCCCTACGAGGGTCAAGAAATAAGATTCCATTATGTTCAACAACTTGCATTGAGAAAATGAAATGTTTATATAGGTCAATTAAACGGTCTTTGAAAAATTGTAATCTTTAAAAATAAAAAATTTTCTTATTGTAACAGTTGTCCTTTCTATTGATTTAATATGACACAAGTGTGCATTAGAAAACAGTGG